CCTTGCTTAGTGACAGAGGATGGCTCAGAAGACTTCTCAGACTCCTGTGATTAATTGTCACAAGGGTTCAAAATGGCAATGGACAAAATATCTTATGGGAGAAACCTAGATTAATGGGGAAGGCAGACCTACTTATAAGAAGATGATATTTAAAATTACTAGGAAATGAAATAAAATTCTGTTTATACAAATTATCCAATAACAAATATATCATATGTATATAAGCAATTTTAAAAGAAACTTTATAGTTTTTCTTCTCCCAAACAACGGTGTGCATAAGATGTCAGGATTGGGGAAGAGGAGAGAATTAAAACAGGGGTTTTCAGTTCTTTTATTGTATGCTACAAGCTCCCCCCAGTTACTTGCAAAATGAAGTTAACTAAATTGTTAAAAGAACACCAGATGTGTCATACAGAGCCCTGGAACAGCTACAGAAGAAATCAGGTAAGAGAGAAGAAAAGTCAAGAAAAGAACAATAGAAAATCAATTTCCCAAAGCTGTGACTCACTGCTTTTGAATGTGCAGAGCATCCTGGGGGGTTGGGCAGAGCAGAGCAATGAGTGAAGTAGTGAGAGTGTAGACTCTGGAGCCAAACTGCCAGAGTTCAGATGGAAGCTTGCTGTTCCCAGCTGTGTGACCATGGGCAGGTTCCTGTACCTCTCTGTGCTTCTCTTCCTCAATTGCAGCAGGGAGCTAATAATAGTACTTGCCTCGTCAGATTGCTATGAGGACTAAATGTGTCAGCACAGGCTTAGCACTTCCAGCAGTTCATGGTACATATTAGCTATTTCTCTCTTCACCAATTCCCTCCTTGCCTTTGCCAGATGCAGATGTCATGCCCAATATGGACTGTGGGCAGCCAACCAAATAAACAGAAGGAGGGCCTTTCCTTCCCTTGGGTCCTGGGATCACGTATGCATTGGAATTTTGGTCGGAGGAGGCCTTGCCTTGACATCTGGGCACCCATCAATCTGTGGGCTTCCACCCCACACACACGCTTGTCTTTATTCCAACATGTTTTAAAATTCGGTTCCACACTTCAAGCACGTCAAGCTAGATTTTAGTTTTAGTCTCTCTTACATATGTGGAATTAGAGGCTCCAGAGTCCATTATGCAAATCAATGCAAATAATATGCAACGAGGCAGTAGCCCCAGATTGTGGGGAGGGGGAATGTGCAGGCCCGCACAAAGGGCCTTGAATGAACATTTGCATGTGTTAGGGAAGCCCTGGGTTGAAGGCCTTGCGTGTGTATTGTGTATTGTGGCAGTATGCATCACTTTCAGTTGTTAACCTTTTGTGCCAGAGAGGAGAGGTAAACTCTCGTCTGATTTCCATGTTGAAGGTGGCAGTAGAAATTGAAGGTGGTGTTTGGATGGTGCAACATCGTAGTGATTTTTATGAGAAAAATGAAAAGTTGCTTTGAAATAATGGCTGTGGTCCAGGCTGTGTCCCCAACTAGCTGAGGGTTCTTAGGCAAGTCACTTCCCTTCTTCCATTGCCCCCCCTATGAAATAAGGGGATTGGATTAGATGAGCTCTAGGTCCCCTCTCGTTGTGGTATCTAAATGTCTCCCTCCAGGTGAAAACCCTTGGCACCCAGCATGGCAGTGTCCGTGCATCATACCAAAGATCTACTCTAAAGTCCAAAGAGGAAAGGGCTGAGAGGTAACTCTACAGTCCTCCTAGAGAGAAAAATAACTTCAGAGGATGCTGGCAACTAAACAAACAAACAAACAAACAAAGCAGCAGCAGGACAAACATATTTACTTGCACTGTACGTCTTACAGCACCGAGGATTCCGGTCATAGGCTCCCCGGCTGGGAGCATTAGCCCCTGGAGCTCTGATGATGGGAAAGTCAGAGGAATTTCTTTCTCTGTGTATTTTAAAGACCAATCTGTATTAACGCCTCTGCCTCTGAAGTGCTGCGGAAGTTCTCCTAGAAGCTGGGGTAGCTCTCACCGGAAGGCCTGTCCCTGGGGTCAGTCAGTGTCTCTCCTAAAGCTTTGTGTTGCCCTTGATGTTGCAGCCAAAAGACTGCTGTGTCCTTGGTCTCCAGTCTCTGATTGTATCTGACACATCTGGTGCTCGACCCCAGGAATCCCTGGGCCCTGAATTTTAACTCCAGCTGTTGCAGCAGCCACCAGCTGGGCACAGGCGGGCAGCCCCTTGGCCCAGGGCTTCTCTAACCAGCCAAGCACGACTCCTGGCAGCCAGGAAATGTAGTGGGATGAGCACCCAGGGGGCAGCCCTTGACCAGTGGGGATGGGAGCCTCTGGTGAGGGCCCTTTTCAGGCAATTTGAGGCACAGCCTGTTCAGCCCCTGGGAGGTCCCCAGGAGTTTGAGGTGCCCCAGAGCAGCTCATAACCTGCCCTGTTGTGAGTAGACTGGCTTCTCTGTTTCACTTGTCTCAGGCCCCCACAGCTGACCTTTCAGATCACTTCCCAATATAAACCACCTGCACAAAAGCCCTGTCTCCATCCCTCCTTCTTCAGAGGCTCTCTACCATAAGGCACGTGTATCAGTTTGCCAGGGCTGCCGTAACAGAGTACCACAGGCTGGGTGGCTTAAAAATCTCTTTCTCACAGTTCTGCATCCTGGGAAGTCCAAGATCAAGGTGCCGGCAGGGCTGGATTCCCCTGGCGCCTCTCCTTGGCTTGCAGCCGGCATGCTCTTGCTGCTTTGTCTCCACGTGGTCGTGCCCGTGTACACATGCCCTGGAGTCTCTGTAGGTCCTGATGTCCTCTTCTGAGGACACCACTCAGATTGGGTTAAGGCCCACCCTGTTGGGCTTGTCTTACCTTAATCACCCCTTTGAAGGTCTTACCTCCAAATACTGTCATATTTTGAGGTACTAGGGGTTGGGGCTTCAGCATAGGAGTCTGAGGGAGCTCAGTTCAATCCTTAACAACACTTATATTGAACCAAGGCATAAGGGAATGTCCCTCAAAACATGGGAGGTCACCGCCAGCAGCCCTAAGAATAGATTGTCCCTACAGTATTAAGCTGTGGGAGGGAGGTGGCCTAGCCTCTGACTGCAGAGCACAGCAGCACTTGGTTTCTTCTGTGGAGGCAACTTACTGCCCTTCTTCCTCCCACGTCATTGATGGTGGTTGACCAGAAAAAGCATGCATTTTAGGAACAGCCCTGGCCTCACAAACTTCTGCTACAGTGTGACTTTCTGCATGTTACCTAATCTCCCTGAACCTCAATTTCCTACCCCACTGAGTGGTTCTGAGGATTAAATTGAGCATGGATGCCTGGGCCAGAGCAGGTGCTCAGTAAACAGTTTTTAGGATTGATTTGAATAAGCAGAGCATACTGTTGCTATATGGTCTAGATCGTGAATGCAAACTTAGAAAAAAGAGGTTCTTTAGGGGAAATCATTGGTCCTAGAGGTGGTGGGCGCTACCCCTCTGTTCAATCTGAAATCCCTCCTTCTCCCCCCACCTACTAATTTGGAACGAGTAAGGGATACACTCGTCTACCCCACAGCCCTGCCACACACCTAATGTGATCCTCTCCTGGACCTGGTGTCAAAGGCTACCAGGAGATCTCCCTCCCTCTGCTTCCTAGAATCTCGCCCCAGCCCTTGCCTTCCCCATCAGACACGTGCACGTCACAGCCAGGGCCCCTGCCTTGGGCATTTGTCCTGCTGGAATCTGACGGGGGTCAGAGGCTCTGAGAGCATTATCGGATGGAGACAGAGCTCTCTATCCATAGTCTGGGGGCCCGGCATGGGCTGAAGGAAAGGCGTGAGAGTGACAAGGGGGTTCGTGCGAACAAGGAGGCATTCACGGCTCAGAATCAGGCCTTAGTCTGGCCTCTCCTCAACAACAGAGACCAGCTCTTCCCAACTCCTGCGTTGTCAGGAAACAGCCAGTCTCACAGTCTACAGTCTGAATAGAGCCTACACTCATGTTTGTATGAGGCACTTTTTTTCAGTATGGGCACCTGCTGTTGTGATTAATAAAATCCATGAATATTTAGAAATGTTTTTAAACTTAGAGGCTTTTGTCCTTGTACATTTTCTCAATGAACTAAAAGTGCACACATTGACTGTCATGCAAAATTCATTTTTTTTTCATGCTCAAAAGGGCTCTTTTTGCTCAAAAAGGCCAGGTATCACCAATGACGACTTTCCCCAGAGAGTTCAGCCGCATGAGTGCCATAGGAAAAGCAGGTGATAATAATGACATAATACCAGCTAGTGTTTACAGATTGCATCTCCTCTTCCAGACTGTGCTAAGTACATTATGGGCTCCAGATCTGGTTGCCCTTCTCTGGACCCCTGTCCCATCCTGCCTGTCACTCTCCTATGGCACTGAGACATCTTTGTCTTATTTTAGGATTGTTTGTGGATGTGTGCAAGCTCATGCAGGGCTGGAGATTGCCCTGTTCATTTTTGTGTCCTCCAAGGTCAAGGAGAGGGTAGATCCTCTTTAATTGTTCAGTGAATGGGCCTGAAGGAACAGAGGTCTGTCCACTTGTACCTTTGTCCAGTTTATAGATGGAAGATTCAGAAAAGGGCACAGGAGTTGGTCAGCTCTGGCCACCCAGGCCTTCCTCATCAGCTCGCGTGGCTCACACAAAGCCACAGGCCTGCCTATGGCAAGGTGGCCTTGGCCGCTCCGTGGTTGCAGAGGAAGAGGCAGATGTGGAGGCCACAAGCCTACTTCTGCACCCCAGCTCCAGCCCGTTCAGAGAAGCTGCCCTGGGGGCTGGGGGGGTTGACAGCCCTTCAGAGGCCCATGGGAGGACAAGCTGGCTGGGTTAGCTGCTCTGCTGCCCCCTGGTGCCGGTTTCTCTTCCTGACAGGTGCTGGGTAGCACCTCCCTGACAGACCTGCGCCAACTCCACGCATGGTTGTGTCTGACACACCGTTCAGCTCCAGCCTGGGCCTCGGGAGTTCCAGAGCTTCCCAAGGTCACGGGTAAGGAAGGCCCAGGCTATAAGCTGCTCCCCAGGTATTTCATCTGTTCTCTCTGTCTCCCTCTCAAGGCTTCCTCCTGATCTTGGCACTGACCGAAGCTCTGGCATTTGCCATCCAGGAACCATCTCCCAGGGAATCTCTTCAGGTCCTCTCCTCAGGCACTCCCCCAGGCACCATGGCGACAGCACCCCACAGCTCCACCAGACACTCCTCCGTGGTGACACTGACCCCCTATCCCGATGGACCCTCCACACAGGCCACAGCTCCCATGGCAACAATGACATCCCGTCCAGATGGGCACCCTCCTACAGACTCCATCTCCACCATTGTGGCAACAGCAACCACCCTCCGTTCTGAAAGCCCCCTGCCCACGGGGCCCCCTCCAGCTGCCATGACAACCACATCCTCCCACTCAGAGGGCCGCCCCCCGGGAGAGGCTGCCCCCACCATCCTGCTGACAAAACCATCGGGAGCCACCAGCCGCCCCACCACAGCAGCCCCCAGGGCTGCCACGCGCAGGCCCCCCAGACCCCCAGGCTCTTCCCGAAAGGGGGCTGGGAGTTCAGCGCGCCTTGTCCCACCTGCCCCTGGTGGCCACTCTGGGAGGAAGGAAGGCCAGCGGGGACGAAATCAGAGCTCCACGCATCTGGGGCAGAAGCGGCCCCTGGGAAAAATCTTTCAGATCTACAAGGGCAACTTCACAGGGTCCATGGAGCCAGAGCCCACTGCTCTCACCCCCAGGACCCCGCTCCGGGGCTACTCCTCTCCACCACAGCCCCGGACAGTGATCGCAACCACGGCACCCAACAGTACCTCGTGGGCACCACCCACCACCCCTCTGGTGCCTGCAGAGGACAAGCCAGGCCTTCACAAAGCAGCCCCAGGGGGTGGTTCCACTGTCACCAGCCGAGGAGGGGAGCTGGACACCACAGCAGCCTCAGGTGCCCCTGCCAGTCCACGACCTGACCCAGTGCCTTCTCAGCGCCCCCGCGACAAGCCGCAGGGCAGCCCCAGCCACAGTGACTCCTGGCTTACTGTCACCCCGAGCACGAGCAGCCCTCTGTCTGCCAGTGCTGGGGTCTTCACAGCTGCCACGGGGCCCACCCAGGCTACCTTCGATGCCAGCGTCTCAGCCCCTTCCCAGGGGATTCCTCAGGGAGCATCCACGACCCCGTGGGCTCCAGCCCACCCCCCCGGGGTCTCAGAAAGCACTGTTTCTCGAGCCAGGGAGGAGGCTGCGGCCACCCTCCCCATGACCGACAGGGTGCCCAGTCCTCTCTCCACAGTGGTGTCCACGGCCACAGGAAACTTCCTCAACCGCCTGGTCCCCGCCGGAACCTGGAAGCCTGGAACAGCAGGGAACATCTCCCATGTGGCCGAAGAGGACAAACCCCAGCACAGGGCCACCATCTGCCTGAGCAAGATGGACATCGCCTGGGTGATCCTGGCCATCAGCGTGCCCATCTCCTCCTGCTGTAAGTGCTTCCCTCTTGCCGCTGCTCCCTTCCCTCCTTCCTCTCCTCTGCCATGTCAACTCGCTCAGCCCCAGGATTCCTCTGCCCGAGATTTAGGCAGCCCCCACCAAGTGAACTAAAAAAATTCCCAGAACCCCAGGAAACCAGGTAGCAGGACAAAGAATCATAGGTTATCCTTGTCCCTAGTCCTTAGCTCTGCCGGGCCATGACTTGAATGCCCAGTGATCATGAAGCCACAACTCCCAAGAGCCAGGGAGGACCTTATAGGCCACCTAACTCAACCCTGCGTTTTGCAGAAAAAAATGCCAAGCTAGCGATGCTGTGGCTCCCCCAGGATCCCCGAGTTAGTGAGAGGCAGGGCTGGGATGGGAGCTCCTAGCAGCTATCTTCCAGCCCAGGGCTCTTGTCATGACCCCAGCCTGTCTCAAGGGTAGCCTGCCAATGCCTCTAGTGACCTGGCACCAAGACACCATGGGTGACCATTGACGATTCCAAATTTGCAGCCTCCAACTAGCACGGCCCTCACCTTCCTCTCCTGCTTCCCCTCTGCCTGCCTTCTTGTCTTTTCTCTCCTCTGCCCCCTCTTCTTATCTCCTTCTGTCTCTCTCTTCCCCAAGAAAGGAGATAAAGTTTTCATATGGGGGGAAGGAGTTCTATTAATCTTGGCAAAAACATAGTTCTTGCAGCTAAATTAAGGCTTGAGAGTTATGTGAATTTAGCAACTCTCCACTCTCACCCTGTCTTATTTGTTCATAGGTGGTCGGAGTGGGATACAGCCATTATTTTTTGCTCCCCCGAGGCCACGAGCACCTCCGTGCTGCTGCCTGCCCCTCTGTGAGTGAGGAGTTGGGGGCATTCTCCCTGCTGTCTCCACAGAGAACTGGACAGAGCCTTTCAGGACCTCGGGGCTTTCTTCACGTCTTGCCGGAGTACTCTGTCCTCAATTCTCAGAGTTTCTCTGGTAACCTCACAGGAGTCCTCACTGTTCTCAGCCCACCCCCAAATGGTTACCATCCGGCCATTCCCTGATCCCTTCCAGGGGTGACACCCCCATCTCTGGACTCCTACTCTTTTGACAGCGCATTCTCCTTTGACCCTCTGGGCTGTCACCCAGCTCTCTTTGGAGCCTGAAATTTGCCTTGTAATTCCCACGCTGTGGTCCTAAGCCCTGTCATCTGAAGCCACACAGAACAAGTCCATCTGACAACCCTCTTGAACATTTGAAATAGTTCTGAAGGGCAGTCTTCTCTCTGTCCAAGGTGCTCATCCTGTCTCTTTAAGTCTTCTTAACAGGGCTGCGTTGTCCTGGGCCTGGCCCTTCTGCCTTCTTGGGGAGCCTCCACTTTGTCCCCGGAAGGAAGCACAGCATTCCACACATGCCTAGCCTCAGCAGAGGGAACGATGGTGGACACTTTGGTCACCAGGCAGCTGATGCTGGCATCGGCTCTGTTGGCTGTACTGGTTTCAAGTCACACCACGGGCTTGCCCTGATCTCAAGAAGATCAAAGCCCCAAAGGCGTCCTACCAGGGAGGCTGTCAAGCTGAGTCTCCCCAGCCTTTCCTCATGCTGTGGTGCTTAGTGCAGTAGCTTTATGACTTTAACATGAACCATGATTTCCACTTGGCCTTGTACTCCGAGATCTTTTTAAATCTGGAGTCTGGATTCTTTTCAGGAGCCACCTCTCCCAGCTCTCTGTCTCCTCCAGGTTGATAAGCAAAGCAAACTTTCCCTGTCAGGGGTAGGTGGCCTGCTTCTGCGTAAGGACCCAATTCAGGAACAGTGAAAATGTTTGCAAGTTGCATATTTCATTCTTAATGAAAGCAGCTTTATTGCCTGTCATGGAAACACACATATATTCTTAAAACCATGATTGCCCACTTCTGAAACAGAAGAATGATCATGAGAAAATGTAGCACTATTAACCAATACGTTACTAATATGGTCATACTTGAGAGGTAACCATAGTAGAGATAGCTTTCTAATTTTCCAATTCTTACACGTGTCTTGGATGCTCTGGTTTACAAAGTGAGTGCCCATTATTTTTATCATTCCATTCGTAAAGCAGACCGCCCAGAAAAATAAAATAAAAACAAAAACAAGCAAACACACTGCCAAGGTGCCAGGGTGGCTCTGGCTGTCATCCACACCTTACCTGTGGGGAGTCAATTGCCAGGTGAGGTGACTTGCCCAGGGTCCCAATCACAGCCCAGATCTGGTGGTGCAAGATCTGTTGGATTGAACGCATTATTTCCCGAGTGCCCATTGTGTGCCGGGCACTCTGCCAAGCCTTAGAGAGTCAGAGATGTGTGATGCGGCTCCCTCCCCAACTCCTAGCACCCACTCCCCACCTGCGCCCCCCTCTCTGTCTCGGCTGGACAGCCTGTGCCCCCACAGCCCACACCCACCTGGGTTTTGTAATTCTAGAGGGATGACTCCTTCTCCCCCAGCCCTTCTGCTATGTATGAGTCTGAAATCGGATCAGACCTTGCTGGAAAGCCCATGGGCTGCCTAAACCATGCATAAAAATGTCAGCTAAGACAAGAGCAAGGACATAGCCTGGAACTGCCCCTCAGGAATGCTTCTGGTACCCTGAAAGGAGTCTTCAGGTGCTGGGGACAGAACGTATTATTTTCTAAAGAAAGATGCGAACTCGCGTTCAAAGTAGACTCTGGCAGCCCCTTGGGAACCGCACACCCCACCTCCTTTGCTGTCCGTCTTGCATTTCCAACCATCTGCAGGGAGGCTCCGTAGCCCTCACCCGGCACAGCTCCTGCCTCGGCCCTGGCTGCCGCCACATCACCTCCGTCCTCAGTCATGGCCCCGACTCCTGTGGGGCCATCACTAACCCTGTGAAGGCCCCAATGAGGGAGACAATTAAGATAGAAGAATGTTTGTCCAGCTTTAGAACCCTGTGTGCTCTCAGTAAATATCCTATCTGTTTGGGCTGTTTCCATAGCCCAGCCCCACTCTAGTCATCAGGCAGGCACACCTCTTTCAGGTCTAAGGTCCCCTTGTTTCAGAACTTTTCAATAGCTCCATTTATTCTAAAGCTACTCTACAGACCTCAAAGAAGGAAGTCATTCTTTGCCAGTTTCCAACTATTTCAGGCCACCTGAGCTGGCAGCAAAGTGCATGCACCAGTTTCCTCCTATCAGGCTTTTCAGACCAGCGCTGGCTCCTGCCCTGCTTTCCCGCAGCCACCAGAAGCCAGAGTTCAGATGGCCCAGGGTGCTGGGCAGGGGTGCTCCCTCTGCCCCTGGTAGAAGCAGGGGGTGAGCACAGTGGGTCCCAGGCCTATGCATGGAGGGAGGGCATCAGTTCGCCTGCCTTTCCAGATCACGAGCCCAACCCAGTGGTCAGAAGGACGTATGCGTGCCAGGGAGAAAAGCTTTTTCTCCTGAGCCCTGCCAGACACTCTGAGCCACACACAGCTTCGGATGTGCTGAGAACTGAAATTGATTGGATCCAGGCCACACTCAGTTAGGGCAGGGGAGCCGGGTGGCTCCTGAGCTGGTCTCTGCTGCCACCATCAGGACACACACAGCCCACCGCCCTTGCTAGAAGCCTCTGGGCCTGGCGCTGAATGGTCCTCACTTGCCATTGTCAGTGCTCTGGTTTTCATGGGCACATCAGTTTTGTGGCTCTGCTAGGCTCCTTTGCCTGTCTGTCATGTGTCATGTCCGTTCTTGATAATGTCTTCACCCATCCTCCCTACGAGAAGATGAGCTGTCTGGAGGTGAGGTCAGGAAACCAGGCCAGCTGCAGATGTTTGTCATCACCAACCCCAGGTCAGCCTGGCGGAAGCAGGGTAGCCCCTCTCTGAGCCTAGACACTTAGGGGTCCATGTACTCCTGGCCCCAGAGCAGCCTGGCTGCCTTCCAGAGGCAGAGCATGAGTGCAGCATCCAAAGAGATCACACACCATTGTGCCCAGCGGTTCTTGGCTGTGGTATTAACAGTTGTTCAGTGAAGATTAGATCTGAATGTGTACGTGTGCCTTTTCACTCACAGGCCCTAACTAGGTTTGTCATTGTCATATAAGAAAACCTGGATCAGAGAGACTCTTGCCAATGCAAAGAATAGAAGAGATTGCGACCAGAAAGCAGTGCAGCCGGGAGGCTTGTCTCCTTGGGGCTCACGGACATAGGGGAGGAAGAAGGGGAGGCGCTCAGGGCAGGCCAGGCTGTCCAGGGGATGCACGCTGGCCAAACTGGTGTCACGCCCACGCTCTGACATCTCTTCCCTGCGCTTCCCAACCAGCAGCCCCTGGTGGGAACCTCCTTGGGCTTCTACAGGCACATTCCCACCCACCAGGCTGGGGAGCCAGACTAAGGCCCCAGCCTGGTTTCACCAGGCCCGTGGCCTTGTATCCAGCCTGTCCTCCTCCCATATCCTGAGGCCTCCCTTGCGGCCTCCCTCAACCTCTAAAGGAGGGACATGACTGTCCACAGCCCTGGCTCACTCCTCATGTTGGCACCACCAGATTAATCCTTCCCCTCGCTGGTCTCAGGTTTTTCATCTATAAAACAGACGGGCCAAAGTGTAATGTGTCATCACTCCCTGTCCTCTCCAGTTTATCTAACGTTAGCCCTCGTGGGTCACAAGAGAGGAAGTCTGGTGTGCTAGGAAGACTTGGCATGTGGAATCAAACACACCTGCACATAAGCCCAGCTCTTGCCACTCCTTGGCTATGGAACTTACACAAGTTACTTAATCATTGATCCAGGGTTTTCCCATCTGTAAAATGGGCCCAATGTTGCTGCGTTAGTTCCTTCAAGAGGCAGGTACCGAGACAGGATTAGGCATGCAAGAGAATTATTGGGGAAACCTTTGTAAAATGTTCGGGAAGGAACTGGAGTAGGCAGAGAAAGCCCCAGACTGCAGTGCAGGCTTGACATCCATGAAAGGAGAGGAGGCAGGAAGGAGGATTGGGTGGGAACAGTCTTGGACGGCAGTGCAGTTCTGGGAATGTTTCCGCCAGGTCAATAGGAGTCCTTCCACCATTAGAGGAGTCCTGAGTCCCATAGGAATAGGCCTGCATTAGTACCCCTGCCACGGTCAGTCATGGCTGGGAGCAGCCTGGGAAACAGCCCCGGCACGGGGGTGGCAGCGGGGCTGTCCACCTACTGCGCTCCGTGCAGCAGGAGATCTGAGTGGGCATCTGCATGGCTGCGACATCTACCTCAAGACTTGTACAGATCAGAGATGATGTGTGTTAGGTCTTATCCCAGTGTCTGCCACAGAAAAGGTTCTCAATAAATGGCAGTGATCAAATAGTGATTGTTACTCATCTTGTTGTTAGGATTTGCAGTGTCCAGGGAGAAGCAATTTCAGCAGGCGTTTGGCCTCAGGGGATCTGTAGGGGCTTCATTTCCGTTTCTCATCACACAGCAGGTCCCAGCACCTGAAAGCATCCCAGAAATGTGAGCGCAGAACCCAAAGCAACCCTTCTTCTTCCGGTCACACGTCTGACGAGCCATGGATGATTTCCTGTTGACGTTCCTGGAAAGGCAAGAGAGCTTGCCTAATTCTCAGCCTGTTTTAAAACTCAAAGGAATAGGGACCCCACTCACCTCCCCTAAAGTGTTGATGGCTATCACCTTAGGAGAAACAGAGCAGTAGAAGATTCTCGACTAAATGGGAAAGGGAGTGGCTAACAGCTGGTGTTTGACATACCTCGTGCATGTTCCCTCCAGTGTTCGGGACAATGTAGGACAGTAGTCATCAGCTTGAAGGTCACTGAGACCTGAGGTCAGGTTGCAGTAATTATTTGGGTGATCAAGATCAATGTTACTAACTTCTATGACCTTCAGTTACCGTTTCTACAAATGGGAATAGTAACAGTGTCTTCCTCAGACAGTTACTGTGTGGGTTAAACAAGCCTGAAAAATGCTGAGAATACAGTAGAGACTCTACAAGTCTGATTTGTACTTTTCTTTCTTGGATGAATGGTTGGAACACCGAAATAGTGAATGCCTGAACCCCAGGTGGAGGCACCTGACATTCATGTCGCCCAGTTTTTCTTCATAGATCTTGTAGAAGATGCTGGGAGAACAAGGAGAGAACTTTCATAAGTTAAACACCCATTGTATGTCAGACATTGTGCTTGGCATTCTGCATCCATGATCTCTTTAATTCTCAGTACAACCCTATGGAGTCCATATTAATTAGAGACAAAATAAGTTACCAGGTGGGCAGAGCAATAACATGAACCCAGATCTTTCTGTCTCCAAGCCCGTGCTATCTCCACAGCCAGGCTGGCTGGCGGTGAATAAATGAAATGGCACTCGAGAAGCGCTGGACTCTCCCTGGGAGAAATAATCATGCCAGGAGCACTAACAACATGTGAGGGGAGAGGCGTGGAACAGAACTCCCTGTTCCGACTCCCAGGCCATCCTGCAACAGTGCCAGCCCTTCCCGCAGGGCGGCATCCCTGCACCGGGCGTTCTAAGCAGGCGCAGGCTTCAGAGCCAGGGCACTGTGGCTGTTAGAGTGCTGAACTGGGAGTCAGATGCCTTGGATCCTGCAACCTCTGCCAGCCCAGGTTAGCAGCATGGCCTCGGGCAAGTTCGCCTCTCTTGTGTTCCCATGCCCCACTTTGTATAATAAGAATGGAGGATAGGGGCAGGGACTGATTTGGTTCAGCACCTACTGTGTGCCTGGGACTATTCAAAGTGCTGGCACATGCATGATTGCATTTGGTCTTTCCAGAGGAAGCTAAAGCTGAGAAAGGTTTAGTAACTTACTCAGGTCATGCAAGTAATAGATTGTCATCTGGATTCTGATTCTAAATTCTATGTCCCTTTCACCATCTTGGCTAGGCAATGCCTAAGACCACATCTGTCACTTTCATTCTGTTTGCTTGTAACTGCTCAATAGATCAGAGGCGCAAATTTCCTTCTATATTAGAGAAGTGTGCAACTATACAGATCTGGCTGACGAATTGTTTCCCCTGCCAGCCCATGTTTTGCATCTGCGACAGTGTTTTGTGGGGCATGATGGGATGTGTCCCTATAAGCTGATAATCGGAGAGTCACTCTGTTTGTCCCAACATGGGACACGTCCCTGACAATCCCCCCCACAGTTCTGACTCCACCAGAACTAAACTGGGAAACAGCACTTTTCCCACTTCCCGAATGCCTCCCTCTCTGTGTGGCTTGTGTCGCTGGTGAGAATTCGCCCCGGCTATTTCACATCCCAGTTCCAGAAGCAGGGTGAAGGGTGAGACAGCGAAGGATAGTGACAGCAGAAAAGGAGAGCGGGGACTTGGGGTCTTGTCCCAGCCCTGCCACTCACACACCCGCGACCTGTGGGGAGTCAGCCGGGCACTGTGGGCCAAGTTTCTCCTCCGCAGAGGAAGGCGGTGGCCGAAATTAGCAGCTTTCAGGCTGAATGCTGCAGCTTCCTTCTCACCCCCTTCCTCTTTCACTGGCGGAGGAGAGGGAAAGGAGGAGACCCACAACATTTGAAAAGTTCTGTACCAGCTAATCTCTCAAACCCCTGTTAGCCCAAACATTCAGAAATCTCCTCTGTGTTTTCAAGATTTTTAAGGGGGGTCCGGAAGAATGATAAGCAAATTTGAAGTGTTTTTGATCGAAGCAGATCAGAAGAAATGGAAACTTACCCTATTGACCTTATCCGAAGGCCTTTCCAGGTTGAGAGGCCAGCAAGACTGGCAGCCACAGAGAAAGCTACAGATTCCTCAGTCAGCCCACAGGGCCTGGGCTCTGGGCTCTGAGGTCTCAGCCTGTACAGCTGGCAGCTAGTGCAGCTGCCCACACCCTGGCATGCACCCACCCCCAGTGCTGGCCTCTCTGGACGGCTCACTTGGGCCCCCACTCCCCAGCCCCCACTCCCTGGCACCACCAGGATGTTGGGTGTGGCCCTGACCACCTCTGGCCCAGAGTTTCAGCTCCCCAATCCCTGGAGGCTCTAATGATGGTGAACCTAAGGCAGGACGTACGCAGTCCTCACTCACTGGCTTCTCACCACTGTCATCACATCACCCTCTGTTGTGTGAGCCCAGATTGGCCACCCCACCTCTCCGACCTCAGAAGCCTTCCCTGTTGACATGCCCCAGCCGCTCTGCTCACACCTGGCTCGGCAACACAATCCAGACATACTCCTTCCCCCCGGGCCCTGTGTGTCCCAGGGTCACACATCACAGTGTGCTCAGGCAGGCTGTGGGGGCCTGACCAGGCCCTCTGTGCAGGGTGGGCTTTTGCATCAATCTGAGGAAGAATCGTGGATGAGTAAGAGCACAGACTTCGGAGTCCAGATGTATGGATTGGCTCTTGGGCATGTTACTTTACCTCTCTGAGCCTCAGTTTTCCCATCTGTAAAATAGAACTGACTTTATGGGGCTAAATGGAGAATTCAATGAATTGATATGTCTAATGTGCTTGGAATCATGCCTAGGAAGTAAGTCCTGTGTAACTGTTAGCACAGTTTTCTGATGATGATGATGATGATGATGCCAGAGAAGCTGTTTGACCAGGATCCAAGACCCTGTGATTTTGCTCTGCGAGCCTCTGCCTTCAGGGCCCGCTGTGGAAGCCAAGGGCTGGTTGTAAAGTTCACTCCTCCTGCCGCTTTCCGCCACGCTTCCACTCCAGCTGAGAACTATGCTCGCCGGTCGGGCGGTGCAGCTCAAGCCCACGTGCTGCTCTCTGCAGCCACGCAAGGCCTTTTCTTGGTGCAAACTTGTGAGCAGCACTGTGGAATCCACAGGCATCACCAGATTGCACCCAAGCCCTGAGCCCTCTGGATGCAGCCTCCTCACCCCCTGACAGTCACTCCAGTCCGCATGCTGCTCTGTCCTCTTCTCCTCACACACACCCAGCTTGTCCCCACCTCCGGCCCTGGCACGTGCTGTTCTCCGTAGCTGAACACACGGCGCCCTGCACATGGCAGCTCCTTCCTGAATTCCAGGCTCTGCTCTAATGATGACTCTGCAGAGGTCCCTCCCCAAGGTCCTCACTGTCTCTTTCATTTCACCCTTTTCATTTTCTTCTAATGGTTATCATGCTCTGCGTTTACTTACTTATTCATTTTGTTTACTGCTTGTTTATCGTCTGACCTGTGTGTGCTCCTCCACACTTACACTAGGACAGACACTCATGAAAGCGGGGGGCCTAGGCCTTTTTTGTCACCCATCTCCCTAACACCTGTACAATTTCTGGCAAAAAGTAGGCACTCCACTACATATAGATATGTACTGAAAAAACAAATGAGTGAATGAATGGGATAAGAGCTGAGTGCGTGACCATGGCAGCCCCACCTGGAGACAGGCATTTGTCTTCGACAACGCTGGCTCCGTCCTTGTCACCTGCCTCTCCTTCTCTCTGACTTGGACTCTCTCCGCAGCTGTCTTGCTGACAGTGTGCTGCTTGAGGAGGAAGAAGAAGACAGCCAACCCAGAAAACAACCTGAGCTACTGGAACAACGCCATCACTATGGACTACTTCAACAGGCACGCCGTGGAGCTACCCAGGGAGATCCAGTCCCTCGAGACCTCTGAGGTAATGAGCCCCACAGCTTCCAGGGGTCCCCCTGGAAGTGCTGGCCCCACTGCAAGGAAAGACGCAGGCCCCAAAGAGAGCCACGGGGCATCTGCTCATTGCTGAGCACCCCTGTCCTCCACGCGTGGCCTGTGGACCAGCAGTATCAGTAACACCCAAGAGGTTGTGGGCCCCGCCCCAGCCCTACTGAACCAGGATCTGCATTTTAGCAAGAATCCCCAGGTGCTCTCTGCACATTACAGTTTGGGAAACACTGTTCCGGGGACTTTTGGTTCCTGGGAACAAGTCAATCAACAAATACTCAGTGAGGACCTGTTTTGTGGCAAGCACTCTCGGGGGACTATGAAGATGAGAGCTTACTCCCACTGGCTCAGGTTCTGAGATGTGCTGGGGGAACAAAACCCAGCATCACTCAAAAACAGAACAAATCAGCGGAAACACAAGACGAGGTATAGACAAAGAGTTATGGACACCCAGGGGAAGAAAGCCTTCCCCAGGGACATGCTAGGGAGGATAAATGGATTTCAACAGGCGTCCCAACAAGGAAATAGCCTGAGTAAATGAGGATGAGTGCTGGGTATAGCCCATGAAGGAGAGAAGGACACACTGAGTCAGGAGCGTTTGCCCCAGACACCGGGCTTGCCAGTGAGAGCACTGAGCTCGGAACCCGGGACTCTGACCGCAGGGTCCACGCTCTGCCCATTCTCATGTGGGAGTGGGGCAGGGCCGGGGTGCAGCAGGATGAAGGCCAGGTTAGGCACAGCCTCGAGTGGGGCATTACGGAGTTTGGACTTCAGTTTTGAGCAGCAGAGGGTCAGCGAAAGCTTTGGTGGTTGGGTGGCCCAGTTTTAGGAGTGTTGATGGCCTGGCGAAGGCACTCCATATGTGATCAGCGAGCGGATAGGGAGGGAAAGAAGGGTGGTTTGATAGATAGATGAATGGATGGAATGACAGACAGAAAACCAGACTAGAAATAGGTAGGTCAACTAGGACGCACTTGAGGTGGCCCAGGAGAAAGCTGGCAGGTGTCTGAGTGCAGGCAGCGAGACCGAGAAGAGGCCTCGTGGAGGCGCAACCCCCAGCTTCTCCTGCAGACCCCTTCCCACAGCAGCCAGCGAGCTTTCCACAGCACTCTCGTGCTCAGACCCTTCGGTAGCTTCCTGTCGCTCTAAGTTCGAAGACTTTCACAGGACCTAGAGGCGGGCCTAGACCCCGCGCAGCTTTGCAGCCTCATATCATGCCCCTCTCCCTCCTTTGCTGCAGCCACACTGGGTTCTTTCTGTCCCTTCACGGCACCAGGTTACGCCTCACCGCTCCCGGTGCGTGAGCCGTTCCTCTCCTGCGGTGTCTCTGTCCCTGCCCACCAGCCTCGTCACCGTTCGCCTCAGTGACTCCTGCCCACCATTCAGCGGCCAGTCTAAGTGTCACTTCCTGCCAGGCTGGGCTCAGCTGTCCTGTCACATGGTCTCAGCCCCCTGTGCGTGCTCGTCAGGGCACTTACGAGAGCTGCAATTATGTGGCTGCTGGTCTGATGTGACTTTAGCAGCTCTCTCCCCGACTAGAGTAACCAGTTGCTTCCGCATTGCTGAGCCAGTGGTGAGTCCCGAGCACTTGTCTCAGTCCTTGTGTCGGAAGCGCTGGCACAGCCCATCCTTTCCCCGCCAAGTTGTTTTTCACTCCTCATGGCAGCAGAGACCCCATTCCCTCTGCTTCCCCCCACCTCCCGCAGCTCCTTCTGCAGCTCTGTTACTGTTCCTTCTCCCTCTCCCAGCCTCTCTTCCCCGGAGTGCCCAGTCTCAGTCCTGCCACCACTTTTCGTCTCTTTCTGCCTAGTCCCGTGACTTGAATATCACCTCTGCACTGTTGACTCCAGGTCCTGTAGCCTCAACGGCCCCGCTAGCTCAAGGCCCTCGTACCCAGGGCTCCGGTTCCGGGATGCGCTGCATGTGTCTAATAGGCATCTCGAAGTCGGCACACCCGGGATTGAACTTCTCACTCCATAAATTAATATTGCTATATTAGAGGCATTGCACCCTAGGTCTCCCCTCCCCATCCCCAAACCCAGCACCTCACCTGGCGTTCGTCATGGGGAGGGCACTGCCAGAGCCTTTCCCTCTCACACACATCCCGTCTGCCGGCGCATCTCATCGGCTCTTCCTAAGGACGAGCCTGCACTGCGTCACACCCAGGCCGCCCTCATCCGTCGCATCGTGACTGCTGCGATGGCCTCTGGAGACAGGACTCCCCACTACCGTCTTGCCTCCTGCCGTCTGACCCCCACAGCAGCCAGACGATCTTTTCAAGGCAGGGCCCCAAAGAAGCTGTGGCTCAGCTCTCAAATGGCCCCTCTCCACACTTGAGTAAAATCCAGAGTCCCCTCCCTATGGTCTGCACGAGCTGGCCCCTGCCCACCTCCTGACCCCACCACACTTCCTGATGATCCCACACTCAAGCCACACCGGCCTCTTTGCCCTTCCTTCTGCACAGGAAGCTTACCCTCCCCCCCAGCCCCCGAGAGCTTTGCCCTTGCGCCTGTCTGGAATGCTTTTCTCCTGGACAGCCTGCTCCCTCACTTCCTTTGGGTCTCTATTCAAACGCCCCCTCCTCCAGGAAGCCTTCTCTGACTGCCCTATATTGATTAGACCCCACCTTTGTTCTCTGTCCACTTCCCTGCTTTGTTTGTCTTCAGAGCACTTCTCACCACCTGGCATTGCATCCTTGTCTCTCGGTTGAGTGGTTTGTGGTCTGGCTCTCCTGCGGGGACACAAGCCACCTGAGGACAGGAGCATTGTGCGTTGTGTTCGCTGCTCTATTCTCAGCACCTAGAACAGTACCTGGTACCTGGTAGGCACTCGGTAAATGTCTATAGAATGAACTATAAATTTCGTTCACCACAACGTACCCATCACCCAGCCCAGGGCCTAACACCGTCGATGCTCAACAAAATAATTTTACCCCAGGGCAACAGGGGGGCCAGTTTCAGGAGGCATCAACCGTCAGTGTGGCCAGGACACATTTGGCATGGCAACAAGTGCTCCTGAGAACTGTGTAGTGAGTGAAAAAATGTGTGACTCGGCAAAGGGGCTGGCCCAGCTGTGAGCGTGGGCCGTGAATCCCGAACTCAGGTTTCTCATACTCCCGTTACAGATCGGCAAATGAAAACCAAACCCAAAGGGCAGTGCTTGTGCATGTGCTGTAAGAAAGGCCTTGTTTGTACAATTCCAGTTAGTCGTTCCAGCACACAGCACCAGGGCCACCGTCCAGCACAAGCACGGGCTCTCGATGGAAGGGCCGCCCCAGCCAGCCGTGCTCCCAGGAGCAGGGGCCACCGTAGAACCGCAGCACCGAGCTCACTTTGGCTTTAGAGTGGGTTTTATTGCTCTTTCCCTCCCAGCAGTCAACTCCCTTCATTCTGCTTTGTTTGGAGTAATATTACAATTTGTTCTGACTCTCTGGGCTCACGGTATTTGAGGGAAAACAAACCCAGATCCAGGATGAAGACAGCTGGGCACTCGCGCACTGCCAACCCTGCACAAAATGGTCATTAGGTCCTGGGGCACGTTCCACCATATTCCAAGTCCTCAGGAAACACACTCAGGACACCTGCCCTTTAGCTGCCAACTTTGGAGACCGCCAAATGCTTTCACTAAGCAAGTGCCTCTGGGGCCCTGCCCCCCTTCTGTGCTAATGAAAATAGCAAACACAAATCTGGCTGTACGGGCAAAATTGTGGTGCCCAAATGGTGCTCGGAAACCTTCCATTCTTTCTTCTTTTCCCTCTTCCTTCTCCTCCTCCTCTTTTTTTTCTTCTTTTTTGCCTTGGTTATTTCCTAGATAACTTTCTTTTTTTTTATTTTTTATTCAGTGAAACATACCCACTTGGTTTACCTCAGTGAATACTTGCTTTGTGAAAACTGTAAAAAAACAATCCAACTCTCAACCTCCAAAATTCCCCTCCACTGCTCACCCACAAGCATGGTGGAGAAAAGGGTTTCTGTCTCCTGTGCGAGGTGCTGCTCTAGTTTCCTTAGTCAGACGCTGGCCCTGTGTCCACGACTCTGATGGGTACTCAGCTACTTCCAGACAGTAAAGGACATGCTTGTCTTCGGAAAATAATGGAATTTCTTCCTTTATTACCTTATAATTCACAGAGTAATGAGTATTCCTCAAAAAGTATCTATAGTGTATGTTCTGTTTAAAAATAAACTTCAAAGAGTTAATTGTGGCTCCTTAAAGTGAAGACAAATCCAAGCAAATGTGGCATGAGCCAGTATACCTAGACTTTGCCCTGTAATGGTCTGGAAGTTCTGAGAAGTTAGGTGTTTTAATTTGAACAAGCTATGACTTTTTTGTCGTTGTTCCTAAACTAGTAACAGGGCCTGAATCTGAGTACAGCCATTCAGTGGCCCACAAATGCCTACAGTCATTGATAGTTGAGACCAAAACCCTGCCAGAGCCATTCAGATAACCTTCTGGGCAGTGGACTGCCTATTTCTAGGCTTTTCAGTTCCTGGGGTTAAGTATACAGACTGAATTTTCCACTTACCACCTATTGTCCAATCACACAAATTTAGATCTGTTGAGCTCAGTACTTCTTGTGCTACAGGAAATGGGGCAATAATTTTGACCAGGCTGTAGGAGGATTCAAGAGGGAAAAGAATTTGCCCTTGAAGACTTTGACAGGTCTCTCAGATTCTGACAAGTGGGTGGCAGGAAAGGAAAGCTGTGGGCAAGCCCTGAGTATGTTCGGAAAGGAAAAGCGGAGAAGTTCCCCAGAGGTCTGTGAGAAAGAGGCAGGAAGTAGAGTCCGGGGTCCAAGTAGCCTGAGTTTTGCCCACCAGGGCAGTGAGCCACACACTGTGTGTGCTGTGCGTGGCAAGCCCCCTCTGACTTTGTCAAGGAAAGCAGTACCATCTCTGGAAACCTACGCAGGAAAGAAACCTTTTTTGGAAGCTGCTATAAAAATCTGAAAGAACAGCCGATAGGGCTCTGCACCTCAGCACTGGCAGTGGGGACAGTGGAAATGTGTGCCAAGCAATCAGTGCTGAAATAAATGCTCCCGTGTGCACATTTCTTAAAGAATAGCCACCTCCCCAGCTCACTCCATCTCCTCCCTCTCCCCCCCAGGACCAGCTCTCAGAGCCCCGCTCCCCAGCCAACGGCGACTACAGAGACACTGGGATGGTCCTCGTCAACCCCTTCTGTCAAGAAACACTGTTTGTGGGAAATGACCAAGTATCCGAGATCTAACTGCAGCAGCCTTCGCTTTGCCATTCCCTATTTTTCGTCTCTAAATTATAAATATACAAATATATATATTATAAATATAACCTTTGTGTAACCCTGACTTAATGAGAAACATTTTCAGCTTTTTTTTCCTAAAAATTGTCAACATCTTTTTTATAAGTGTGGTTTAAAAAAAAAAAAACTTTACAGAATGATCCGTGGCTTTATAAAATAAAGGTATTTCTAAGCAAAGCAGTTGCACTGATTGCTTTGATTGCTTCTCTTAATAAGTGTTCTTAAACACTTGGAGATCCCGGGAGCCCCAGACAGGTGAGGTAAGAGACTGACCTCCTGTAGAAGCTGAACGTTAGAATGGTCAAGCGCACAGTCCTCTGAGCGATTCTTAAAGCTCTAGCTCCTCCTGATTCAGTGTGACCCGTTCCCTCCCTTCCCGTATGCACACCTGTGAAGGCAGCTGGGCCACCCAGGGGGAAGACAGCAGACTCTTGTGCAGAGCAGGAAGAGGGGACGTGTCATCACCCAGAGGATGAGTGCCCTGGAACCTCACAATGGCACCATCAGATGTCAAGTTTAATTCCATCCCAACTGTGGACGGTGGGCAGGAGCATGCAGCCCTCGGGAAGCCACAGAGAACATCCGGGCATCCTGAGGCCACGTCCCCTACCATCACACACAGGGCGCTTCCACCGTGCTAACAACGGGACTGCCTTCTCTGGCAGAAAAGTGCTCCCTTCAAGCCCATTCCTGCGTCCCCTCCAACACCCACATCTGCATGAAACACCCAGGCCTTTCTCTCAGGGAGGGTTTAGCTGCAGATCCCAGCCCTGAGGCTTTAGAGTGCTTGCCCTTCTTCAAGGATCAAATGTTTATTGGGGTTTAGCTTTGTTTTCTCAAAATGCCATAGTATTGTGCCCCTGAGGAACATATTTTTCTAAGAAGCCTTGAGGTGTGGAGCTGTAATTTCTGAAAACTTCCTCCTGCAATCATAAAAACAAAAAACAAGATTGCCCAAGCAATAGCGTGGGAGAAGACATCATTGTACCCCTACTCAGCGTTGCAGACCTGCTTGCAGCACCGGCTGATGGACCTGCCACCGGCTCTCATCGTCCCTTGCCTCCCCCCAGTGCTCCCCCGGCCCACGCTGTGTCCAGCACAGCCAACAGGGGTCAGACCCTCAGAGACACCAGAGGGGCTTCCAGAGACTGCTGCTTCTCTATTTTTTTCCTAATAGACAGGAAGAGATGATAACTGCTTTGATGCTTCCTTTCTCTAAAAGAAAATAGTTTGATAGTATATTTTGAATATAGATGTTCTTATAGTCAGATTGGAAATTGAACTTGAATGTTGATTCATATGTTTGTGTTGTTGCTGTGGTCTTTTTATCATGACTTTTTCCTTCCTGCATTTTCCTTTTAAAAAAAAAAAAATGGCCTTCAAAAATGTGTGTTCTCAATGTTGTATGAACCTATTTAACATGAGTTTGGTTGTTGTCTCTCTTCAAAGACTCTTCAACCCACAAAGAAGCAGGTTAAATGTTTCTCTGAGATTCGTTTTCTAACATGTTTCTGTCTGATCTTTTAAACCTTATCATAATATTTCTGTTAGCTATTGTATTTAATATATCAATGTGTGTGAGTATATATAGAGAGAAATCTGTTTGTAAAGTAAAATTTATATATAATATATGTAATCAAAGATGCATATGTTATATATACATATGTGGATGTACGACTTATTTTTCCTTATCCACAGAATTCAGCTACCATGTATATATAAATAAACTTATTTTATTAGCCAGAGGATTAAGTTGCTAATACATTTTGCATTCTTTTCACTCTAACGTTTAAGTCTTCCTTAAGCAGTAGCAACACCACTTCATGCTTATCTGTGTTTTTTAATCTGATTTAACAGTAAGTTGGATTTCGTGAGCATGATGAGCTAATAGAATTAGTGGTTTATCATTTGATAAAACAGATCCTTTTGAACATGTTTATGATTTCTCCAAAATAGAGTCATCTTTCATCAGGTCTTTGGAGACATTGATGTCAATTAAAGTTCATCCCCTCCTCATTCTCCCTCTCTCCAGGCTCAGTGGATTTAAAGTAAATATCTTTGATTTGGAGAAATCCAAAGGCCACTGAGTATTACCATTCTGTAGGGAATAAGAGTGCCTTAAACATGCCACCTTTGCAAACAACTCCACCAGTAGCTTGAACCTGTCATTCAGCCTTGGATGATACCTCCTAGAATTCACAAGAATATAGATCCTTGGGACCCAGTCAGTAACACCTGCATTAGGAGGATGTTGTTATAATACAGTCTCACGTGCCCCCAGGCCCGTTTCTGTGCACCAGAGGTGCTGTTCCCAGCAAGAATGCTACATCTAAATAAACAAACAAGGGTAGTACCAGCCTTATTTGACCTCACTGGTTCCTTAATCTGTTAATCCAATAACTAACATTGATGTTTACAAAGTACTTTCTGTGTCATCTCAAATAGACAAGGTAGAAGAAAAAAAAGGAAGGGTTGTGGTGTCCTAATCAGTAGGAAGGAAGAGCACACAGAGTATTTTAGCAGGCACCCAGGTGTTTTAACTTTACCTGTGTGACCTCGGGTGGGTACCCTTCTCTCTGGATGGTGGGCAACAGGGAGGGTCCTAAAGTCACTGGACAGGAGTCAGAAAAGGGCTTCTCATGCCACCTCTGCTACTTTCTGGACATGGGACCATGGGCAAGTCATGGCAGCTCTCAGGGTCCTCATCACATAATGGGATAATAGCCAATTACAGGGCATGTGATACTTTGGGGGCTGTGAAATGCACGTCAGCCCTATACCTGCCTACCTCCCAAGGTCGACTTGAGAATTCAATGAGATGAAGTTAGGGAATCATGCACAGCACTAGCGGGTTTGGTACTCACTTCTTCCCTCACTCAAGGCGTATTCCCGCGTTACTGGATAAATATCCGGCTCTGGGTTTTAGCTACCTGGTTTCTCCAGAGTAAAACTTAAGCACAGTGGTGTTTAGGTCCATGTTGTCATCCCCGGGGCCAGTGGAACCTTTCTGATCCTGGAAAAGATATCGAGGTTTGGCCCTTGATGGCAAGGCTTAGTGGATGATGACAGCAGGAATTGAAACCCAGACGCTGTCATCAAATCCTAACTTGGAGCACCCTTGAAGAGCTTACCGGAAAACACTCTCTTTGTTATTTTTATTTAGTGGTTTCCTGACGAATGGGAAGCAGAGGTGTAGGGAATGACTAAATAGGTACCCGCCGTGTGTGGGACTTGAATTTGCCCAAGATCCCTTCCCTAGCGCATCAGAGAGTTAGAGCCCAGGCCAGTGTGTGCAAAGTGAGGTCCGGGGGGTGAAGTGACATGGCCAACGTCTAGCAGCTGATGACTAGCAGAGTGTCAGAGAGCAGAGAAGGGAAGGGAAGGGAGACCAAAGCTAGGGAGGGACCTGAAGCTTCTGCCAGGACTGAGGGAGGGTGAAGGAAGCAACAGGCAGGTTTGTTTCTCTTGGGTCCATGGGGCTGCCTCCTGTCAGGGCTGGTTCACATCCATGTCATCCTCTATTGCCTGCGTTGACATACGCTCACCTTCACGCATTCAGACACACCAGCACACGCAGGGATATAGAAAGCACTGTTATTGGCCTTGAAACACCGAGATCGATTCCTTGTTTGTAATCTGAAGTCTGGAGCAAATGATCACTACACTTGTGAACTGAGGTCCCTGAGCCTCAGTTTACTCATCTGTGAAATGGGGCTGCTTGATGCCTACCTTGCCCACTCTTAGGCAGTGAAATACACAAGCCTGCACTGATCCGGCCTCCCCCACCACCAACAGAAAAATCTGGGAGGTTGGGCACATGACCCTGCTTCAAAGAATGCATGAGTGCCTCTCTGCACACAGCCCTGGGCAGGGCCTGTTTCTCTTTCATCCCAGTGAATGATGGAAACTCATGGAAGACAGCAGACAAAGCAGCCCCAGGGATAGGGGAGCTTCCAGAGAGGCCCGTGACTAGGCCACGGGGACGCTGGGGCTGTAAACCAAAAGCCACAGGAATCTGTAAGCCCACTGGGCACCACAGAGGCAGAGGGGTGATGAGCGAGAGGCGAGTGGCCGTGGACTTGCCCATCGGCACCAGCTCCAGCATGCCCCTCCAGAGGCGCAGGCCGTCCCTCAGGGGGCCACGGTCGTCATCCTCCCTGGATAGCCCCCCAGCCTCCAGGACCAATGCCATGAGTGGCCTCGTCCGAGCACCTGGGGTCTATGTAGGGACGGCGCCCAGTGGGTCCATAGGTGGCCTGGGTGCCCGTGTGACCCGCCGGGCCCTGGGCATCAGCAGTGTCTTCCTGCAGGGCCTGCGGAGCTCAGGCCTGGCCACCATGCCCACTCCAGCTTTGGAGAGGGACCACACTACCATTGAGGACCTTGGGGGCTGCCTGGTGGAATACATGGCCAAAGTGCATGCCCTCGAGCAAGTCAGTCAGGAGCTGGAAACGCAGCTGCGGATGCACCTGGAGAGCAAGGCCACACGCTCCGGAGGCTGGGGCGCCCTCCGGGCCTCCTGGGCCAGCAGCTGCCAGCAGGTGAGTGCCCACGCCATGCCCAGGGGCTTTGCAGGGGTGCTGGGAGGGGATGCTGAAGGCAGGGGGTAGGGTAGTGAGTGGTCTGAGGCCAGAGAAACAAACCAAAACCCCCTTCGCTTTCATACTAAAAATGCTGATGATGACAACACTACCTTTTATTGCGGTTTACTAGGGGCCCACGCCAGCCCCCGTACATGGGCTCTCTCCGTAACATTCGAAGCAACGCTAAGTGGTGGATCATTCATTGGTTGCATTTTTCAGATGAGAAAACTGAGGCATGTTATTTGCCCAAGATCTCAAAGCTAGTAGGGGCGTGATGGAGGTGAGATTTGAACCTGAATTTTTCTGGCTCCGAAGGTGTACTCGTCCCGTAACCCTGGGCTACCTCTGTAACATTTACTGTTGAGAAAGGGGTTTTACGGCCATCATCCAATCGAATGTCATCAAACAAATGTGGTAGTAAAAACATGAATAAATGGAAGTATGTTCCTGTACCCATCTGTAACAGCGCTATTCAACAGAAATATGAGCCACACAGGTAACTGACAAGTTGCTATTAGCTGCAGTAAGTAAAAAGAAACAGGTGAAGTTAATGTTAATATCATAGCTTATTAACTCTACATATCCAAACTGTTATTTCAACATGTAATCAATATAGAAAAATTAGTGAGATAATTTACATTCAAATAGAACTTTCCCGCAGTGATAGAAATGTCTTATATCTGTATTGTCCAATCTGGCAGCCACTAGCCACATATGGCTCTTGAGCTCAAAATGTGGCTAATGAGACCAAGGAATTGAGTTTTTTATTTTATTTAATTTTCATGAATTTAAATTTAAGTAGCCACAGGTAGCTAGTGGTTATCTTATTGGCCAGGGAAGGATGCAGAGGTTTCATCTTTCTCTCCTGCTTGGTTGGCCTTGCTTTTCCTGCCTTCCACGGTGATATCTGCAGAGCTCCGAGCTCATCCATCATGTCTGGCCTGCAGCCTGTGGTTCTAATGCTAGGACTCCAGCCAGCATTGCACATCTCAGCTGTTCTCTCTGTGGATGGCTGGCTTCTCTCCTTCCCTTTCTCACAGTTGCTGGCCTTGGGATCCCTGTGAGCTAAATCAGTGTCTAACACAGCCAGAACTGCCCACTCACACCCTTTCCCCCTGGGGTCCAGCATGCAGCTCCCGAGAGGAGGTCACAAACCTTTATTTGCATGGAGCTGGGTGATGCTGAGCAGATTCACACAGGGACTGCCCATCTGCCCCTCCTGCCTCCCATTTCATCCCACGATGCTCCTCCATCACTGTTGTCAGTGCCCGGCTGGCAGCACAGGATGCATGATGTACAACACTGTCCTTCCCCCTGGTGCTGCTGTTCGCTTGCATTCGTCTGGGTTGTGAGGGAGAGCCATCTTAGAACAGCCAGGGACCTTAAAGCCTGTCAAATCTAAGAGGCAGCCCTTCCTCCAGGATTCTCCACAACTGTCCTGATTCCAAATATTTGCACCATATCAGCCACCAGAATGTCCCTAGATATCAGCATCTGCTGGAAATTGCTTGTAGTCACAGATGCCACACAGACTTGTCAGGGGAAATCAGGCATCCCAATTTCTAGGTAAAAAAAATATGGCCACAAAATTTAGTCCATACTCAATAGATACTGACTTGCTCTGGCTCCATCTAGCTGCAACTTACTCAACTTCTCTGGGCCTCAGTTTCCTCATCTATAAAATGGGTATAATAAATGCCTGGCTATTCCAGTAAATCCATAGATAAATAAAATACATGGTTCCTGTCTACAGGTAGACTACAGACTAAAAAGCTATAAAATACTGCAAGAGCAGTACAGGCACAACACCAAGATATTCGACCTCTGTAACTGGTGGTAAGAATCACAAAGGGGGTCACTTTCCTCTCAAGTGACTATAAATGAGGTCCTAGGTATGAATAGAGCTCTCCTTTAATTCTTTTTCTTTTGAACATGGATTTGAAGACACAATTAGACCAATCTATAAAATGGAGTTCTTATTTCTGTATTGCACAGTCTACCCTTCCAGCCGTAAGCTCTATTCCATCAAAAAAGAACAAAGGGAAACTCTACGTATTTGAGAAATACACATGAATTTTCCAGGCAGGCCCACAGAGCTGCAGGAGGGGCCCACCCCCTTCAAGGCTAGAGGAACCAACACACACACAATCCAGCCATTTCACCACGAGCTGCCACCTCCTCGCTCGGGGATCAGAGGCAGCCATGCAGACACCCAAGGCTCCCTTGCTCTGCCCTCACTCACACGTCTTGGCCTGGGGCTTCATGTTCTTGGCTCCAGTTTCTTCACAGCACTCCCCTAACCTCGCCCCTTCTCCAGCCAGCAGGGCTCCTCCTCGCCCTGCCAGCCCAGCTCCATGGCACCTCTGCTGTGAGCCCCAGACCCTCTGGGCCTCCCCAGGGCCCACGTGGCGCCTGAGGGCTCAAGTTGGTGATAACTGAGCCCCGATGGGCCAAAGGGTGGCTGGGCCCCCACAGAGAAACTCCATCTCCTCCTTAGCCGGGCCCCCAAACAGAGAATCCAAGAGCGCCCTCCATCGCCCAAGAGCAGGCTGGGGGATGTCCATTTCAGTGGCTCTTTCTCGGATCAAGCTGGAGCAAGCAGTGGGGAAGTTCAGAGCAAGTGACCATTTCTGTAAGTGTCTGAGAAAGAAATCTGCTCTCAGAGGGAAGAGTAAGGGGCTGGGAAGTAGAGAGACTCTGGCTCCCCCACCACAGACAGCTCCTGGGGCCATTCTGGGGAGTGGGGGCCCTTGTGCCCTGGAATCTCCCATAGCCTCTCCTGCCCGACCCATAGGAGACAAAGACAGGCTTTCAGAAAAACAAGGCAGAGAGGCAAAGGGGAGGGGGGCAAAAGTTGCTGTCACTGTGCAGAAAGCCACAACATGGAAAGCATCATGAAACTTGGGGGCCAGGGGCGTTCACACCACAACAGAACCGGAAAGCAGGTCTGGGCGGGGCGGGGGAGGGAATCCTCTCCATCCTTATGCCTGTATAAGTCAGGGAGTCTTGAAGGCAGCACCCTTAGGGCCAGGGTCGGCTTCATGGGTGCACCACCAGCACAGTCCCACAGGGGCCCCCACTGGGGTTTAATGCTCTGCAGTCGCCATTGAAATTCTTGTTTTATCTTTGAATTTGTGTTTTGTAAGTGAAGTTCAATAGGGGACAATGGAGCATGGGCCAGGGGCTCTCGCATGGACCTCTTGCATAGTCCCATCTCCCTCTGTCTCCTTGGGAGGGGTCCTTGGTGGCCCATTCCCCTGCCCCCAAGAGCCTCAGACCCCTCCTGACCTTCCCTCCTCACCCCACCTGGGTGGCAGCAACCAGGGAGAGAGGACAAGCCTCTTTCCAACCCCTGACCCAGGTACCTACAGGTGGCACTGAGGTTGCAATACTCTTGGGGGTCACCACCACTCTGCCCACCACCAGAACATGACACATCAGTCCAGCAGTTGAGGGGCTGCACACACGCCCTGAATCATGTAGCAAGGCCCTGGGTGCCTATAAGGCTCCACATAAGTATCCCCACCATGCCCAAGGGAGTGAAAGATTAAATAGTAAATAAAAATTGCTACAACAGGTTGAGAAAGAGATAACGGAAGAAAGGGGAAAGCTCCATATTTTAGTAACTTAAATTGTGCTTTGTTTCCTGCTTTTCGAACGAGGGGCCCGACATTTGCATTTTGCACTGGGACCCACGGATTATGTAGCTGGTGCTAGTTAGGGTTCAAGTATATGACGTTCCTTTTCAATTCAAACCTTTCTCCCCCTGCTTCTCAACTGTGTTAGAATCACTCCGCCCCTTCTCCTGCTAAGAAGTGAAAACAGACAGAAAAACCCGCAGGTGGCAGCTGCAGAGGCTGAGGAAGACCCGAGCACCTGCCCAATTCCTGGGCAGAAGGTGGCGGTTTCCTTCTCTGGCCTTGCTCTGTGCTCCTGACTTTTCTTGCCAAGTGAACGATGCTGATAATAAGTTCTGGGGCAACATCAGGCCCTTTCATCCTCAAATAGGCCAAACACAAGCTTGGCGTTAGGCAGTCCGTGCCTCAGAGCTGCAGATGAAAGGAGAGTGGGCAGAGAAACAGCCCAGAGACCTGGTGTCAAAACCAAATGGGGAGCTGAGGTGTCGGGGAGGGGGGCAGGGAGTAAGCTGCTTGGAAAGGAAGGGCAACGTGGGGGCGCTAAGTTAAGGAGTCAGGATGTTAGTCTGGTCTCCGCTGGCGGGGGCGTGGCACGGAAGCTCACACCTCTGAAGGATAAGGCAGTCAGCTGGAGGAGAGGGGAAATCAAAATTACTGAAAGGCAAGGATTAGCGTTTACAACGGGCCTGATTTGGTTACTTTTCCTGCTGCTCCAGGCCTCCTGTTCTGTCCTCTGCAGAGAGAAAGCTCATACTCTGCAGAAACTGGAAACTCGGGCAAATCCACATGGGGCCAAATTTCTCTCCCAAAGAAACTGTGGCCCTAGAAGGTTTTTTTTGAGCTCAGGAGTTCGAAACCAGCCTGAGCAAGAGCGAGACCCCATCTCTACTAAAAATAGAAAGAAATTAATCGGACAACTAAAAATATATAGAAAAAATTAGCCGGGCATGGTGGCACATGCCTGTAGTCCCAGCTACTCGGGAGGCTGAGGCAGAAGGATCGCTTGAGCCCAGGAGTTTGAGGTTGCTGTGAGCTATGATGACGCCACAGCACTCTAGCCCGGGCAACACAGTGAGACTTTGTCTCAAAACAAAAACAAAAACAAAAAAACAAAAGAAACAAGAACTAATCCTTCCCCACTGAGTAAAGAGAAAGACAACAGGGTTGTTGTTTGTGGTTCACAACCTGGTGTCCCTGAAAATAGGCGAGTGGGCAGAACCATGAGCTATTTTAGCATCTGCAAAAGCCTGGATGCATTTCCTCGAGACAAAACCTCTCAGTCTATTTCTCAGTAAATGCAATTTGTTTGGTGAGAGCAGG